CAATAGAAATTACTTACTCGAGGCAGGGGTACTTGGGATTTTTTTTTGATCTGCAGGGGTACTTCTCTGTAAAAAGTTGAGAAACACTAATCTAGAGTAGTGGTTGCCAACCTTTAATGTACCATGCATACTTCAATAAGAGAATAAAATACAAGGCTTATAAAATTCTATGCATGCTTCTAGCTATATTGACACATTCGTTTTAATTACTTCCTAGATGGAAACTTAAATTTTAATCCAACACTCAAATACAGTTGCAAGAAAAAGTATGTGAACCCTTTGGAATGATATGGATTTCTGCACAAATTGGTCATAAAATGTGATCTGATCATCATCTAAGTCACAACAATAGACAATCACAGTCTGCTTAAACTAATAACACACAAAGAATGAAATGTTGCCATGTTTTTATTGAACACATCATGTAAACATTCACAGTGCAGGTGGAAAAAGTATGTGTACCCTTGGATTTAATAACTGGTTGAACCTCCTTTGGCAGCAATAACTTCAACCAAACGTTTCCTGTAGTTGCAGATCAGATGTAATTCTTGACCATTCCTCTTTAGAGAAATGTTTCAGTTCAGCAAGATTCTTGGGATGTCTGGTGTGAATCGCTTTCTTGAGGTCATGCCACAGCATCTCAATCGGGTTGAGGTCAGGACTCTGACAGGGCCACTTCAGAAGGCGTATTTTCTTCTGTTTAAGCCATTCTGTTATTGATTTACTTCTATGCTTTGGGTCATTGTCCTGTTGCAACACCCATCTTCTGTTGAGCTTCAGCTGGTAGACAGATGGCCTTAAGTTCTCCTGCAAAATGTCTTGATAAACTTGGGAATTCATTTTTCCTTCGATGATAGTAATCTGTCCAGGCCCTGACGCAGCAAAGCAGCCCCAAACCATGATGCCCCCACCACCATACTTCACAGTTGGGATAAGGTTTTGATGTTGGTGTGCTGTGCCTTTTTTTTGCCACACATAGTGTTGTGTGTTTCTTCCAAACAACTCAACTTTGGTTTCATCTGTCCACAGACTATTTTGCCAGTACTGCTGTGGAACATCCAGGTGCTCTTGTGCAAACTGTAAACGTGCAGCAATGTTTTGTTTGGACAGCAGTGGCTTCCTCTGTGGTATCATCCCATGAAATCCATTCTTGTTTAGTGTTTTACGTATTGTAGATTCGCTAACAGGGATGTTAGCATTTGCCAGTGACTTTTGTAAGTCTTTAGCTGACACTCTAGGATTCTTCTTCACCTCATTGAGCAGTCTGCGCTGTGCTCTTGCAGTCATCTTTACAGGACGGCCACTCATAGGGAGAGGAGCAGCAGTGCTGAACTTTCTCCATTTATAGACAATTTGTCTTACCGTGGACTGATGAACAGCAAGGCTTTTGGAGATACTTTTATAACCCTTTCCAGCTTTATGCAAGTCAATTCTTAATCGTAGGTCTTCTGAGAGCTCTTTTGTGCGAGGCACAAAGGGCAATTGTCATCTCACAACTAACTGTTTTAATATAATAACCCTTACATCAAGTTTTGAAAGGAAATTGTTTACTTTGGTTTTCAATAGAGTATCAGTAAAAAAAAAAAAAAAATTTAAAAATGCACCCATACCTTCAGTATATGACAGGTTACTTCAGCCATATACACAAACCTTGGGTCAGACAGTGTTGGAAAACTGACAGTTAGTTAAAAAAATTATATTTCCTCTAAATTCTTGATGCAAGGATTATTATTTTTTTATATATATAATTTTAAGAAGAGGTGTCCTTTAAAGGGTTTACATGCTTAAAACGTTTCTCCTGCACTCTAAATTGAGCTTTAAAAAGAGTCTCCTACAAGGTCAAGAAGACTAACAGAGCATGAGATAAATTCTAAATTTGGTGCGAAGGTCATGCCTCTGCAGTCTCGCTGCTCAATTATCTGCCATTTAGGCTTCAAGCTAGTGGTGAAAAGGGACAACCAGACCCATACATTGCACCAGACCAACAAAATGTCGGACTTTGCTGACCACCTGTGGATATCCCTCCTTCACCAACTCCCACCAGAAGCAGCAAGTTCACAAAGGGACGGCGGCCCAGGTCTGGAGGTCACCCACTTCCAACTCGCCAACAACAAAGGAAACGACCCACACCTACTCCGAAAGGATCTCCTCAAAGAACCACTTGAGCTCACCCGTAAGGGTTGTAGACATTCCTTACAAGACCGGCAGTTCTCGCCTATACCCCGGATCAGGTTTTATGGCACAGTTTGACTTTATGTTTAAGTTTAATGTTTAACTAATCCGCATAGGTGTAGGCGTAGGCCCACTAATGGCAAAACATGTTTATTTGAGGCACATTTCTCCAGTAGGGCTGGGTACTCAGGGTTGGGGAACCCCAGTGATGGCTGATACAAAACCTGTCCCACTCGAGGCCCCACTCACTGAGGATCGCGGCATGATACAAACCGCGGAATGTGTAAATACCTTGCCCAAATTCTCCTCTAGAGGTCCGCGGACCACCAGCCCCATAGGGGCCAAGACACCCTCATAGGCTTTGAGAGTATTGCCTCCTTATGAAGACTCCAGTTAAGGAGACCCTAACCCCTCCCACGTTATAGCACCCATACCCTATGTACCCACTTTGACAATAATAGGTGTGCCCTGCTAAACCGGGGGACACATAAACCGCGCCTTACAAGGGGGAAAAGACACGACCCACAATTCTCGCAACAGCCCCTCAAATAGGAGACACCTCCGTACCCGCACCAGTGAATCCCACCATGTGTATTAGCCCTGGACTCCTGACCTTATTACCGGGGGACAGTGCTTTCCTTAGATGTACGAAACCCCTGCCACTAACCACTGAACTGGACACAGTATGTTTAGCATAATAAAAAGGGGGACCCCAAAGGTGTCACTGAATATCCACCCTGGGAGACTGTACAACCAATTACCTAGGGGTATATATGAGCCTATTTGAGACTTTGATGTTGCAATTACTGTTTTCTTTACAATGTAAAATCATATGTACTGACCGTGTATACACCACCCCAAGTAGGGCGGCCCCCGCATGGACCCTGGTTTAGGTTGCCCCTTTCCTCTGAGTAACCGTGTATGCACAAGTCAGCTAACACTGTACAGGCCTGTAATCCCACAGGGTAACAGAATTGAAATCTATAAGAATCGTTTGTTTACCATGTACATAGACAAGTATGCAAATTAGGCTTCTCCAACGTGCAAGGGACTAACATTATACTTACCCACCTACCTGAAAGAGCCGTCTGACGCCCCTCCCTACTGTGCCATACAACAACAACAAAAAAGCGGGGCCAACTACGTGACACTCCTACACCAGCTGGGCAGGTTATAAGCCTAACCCTGAGATCCCTCTTTATGCCCATGTTCAACCCACCTACTGTTTCCTAACAACCTACTGTGTGTCCCCATCCATAGGGACCCTTAACTCCTGAATACCCTGACCAAATTACGCACAAACCACCTTTATACATACCTGACCTTCCACGGTCACCTTTTGTAAACACAATGTATCTTGTCCTTGTTACATGCACCCTGTTCCAAATTATTATGCAAATTCTATTTAAGTGTCACAAAGATGAAATATTTTGTTTTTCAGTTTAACTCATAGATGGCATTGTGTCTCAGGGCTCTTTTGATCACTGAAAACAATCTCCGACACCTGTGATAATTAGATTGCCAGGTGAGCCCAATTTAAGGAAAAACTACTTAAGGAGGGTGTTCCACATTATTAAGCAGAGCACCATTTTCATGCAATATGTGGAAGAAAAAGGATCTCTCCGCTGCCAAAAAGAGTGAAATAGTTCAATGCCTTGGATGAGGTATGAAAACATTAGATATTTCAAGAAAAAATAAGCGTGATCATCGCACTAGTAAGAGATTTGTGGCTGATTCAGAGCACAGACGGGTTCGTGCAGATAAAGGCACATTGAGGAAGATTTCTGCCAGATCCATGCATCGGATCAAGAGAGCAGCTGCTAAAATACCATTACATAGCAGCAAACAGATATTTGAAGCTGCTGGTGCCTCTGGAGTCCCACGGACATCAACGTGTAGAGTCCTCCAGAGTCTTGCAACTGTGCATAAACCTTTTATTCGGCTACCACTAACCAATGCTCACAAGCAGAAACGGCTGCATTGGTCAAACAGTCCTGTTCACTGATGAGTGCGGTGCAACCCTGGATAGTCCAGATGGATGGAGTAGTGGATGGTTGGTGGATGGACACCCTGGTGGAGGTATGTTTTGGTCTGGAATCATGGAAAGAGAGCTGGTCTGCCCCTTTAGGGTCCCCGAAGGTGTAAAGATGACCTCTGCAAAGTATGTGGAGTTTCTGAGTGACCACTTTCTTCCCTGGTACAGAAGGAAGAACTATGCTTTCTGTAATAAAATCATCTTCATGCATGACAATTTGGGAAGGAGGCATATGTTCGCCTGTAACATGTCTTGTGGTAAAGCTTTGCCATCTAGTAGCGAATTATGTGCAGGATCAATATGGGGTTGAATGTTTTATAGTATATTCTTGAGAACACATCGGGGCCAGGGCATTTGTCTAGTTTAAGGGTTTTGAACATGTTGGCTATACTGCAAAGGAGAACAAAAATGTATAGAAAATATGTGCAAAGTAATAGAACCATTAATAATAAAAATCTTACTCATAAAATCAGAAAATATTTATATAATTTCTTAAAATATCTCTTCATTAACAGCTTCTAAAATTGAAATATGATTTTATTCCTTGCATTTTGTGATCTGTAACTTTCAAAATAAAGTGAAATAATAGACATATTACGTATTCTGTAAATCAAGACACATTAATTTATTTTGAATAACGTTTCCTAAGCTGTACATAATACGCATACATTATTGCCAAAACTTTGAAAACTTTTTTTCATAATAAATACGTATATATACTAATTTACACAAGTCATGCTTTTTCCTAATTTTCTGTTTTAATAGTATGTGTGTGTCACATCCAATTACAGCCCATTTTCTCCTTTAAAAAAAACTGTTGAAAAAAAACCAATGCAAATTGCGGTTGAATACAAACAGCAAAAAAATTCAAAAATTGTGTCCTTAAATCTAAGTCCTGCTTCTGAAGCGGCATCCAAAGTATTTAGGAAGGCTGTGCAATCAGGTTAGATCAAAACTTTCCTATGGGTATTTTGCAAGATGCTAGACGTCCTAATGCAAAAGCATCATTTCACAGAGTTAAACCCTTTGAAAATGCAGGAAGCACCTCTAGTGACTGTCCAGATGTCTGTCTGAGAGTCATAACCCTGCAATGTAAATATTGCAATTTCTCTAAACTAAAAGGCTAAGATGACAGGGTCACTGCACCCAGGCCACTTTACTGAGATGAAGTGGTCTGGGTGTTTATAGTGTCCCTCTATGTCATCATCCATCTTGGATCTTCATCTCTGATCCAAGATTACAATGCTGCAGTTGTGATGTTTGGATACCAAATAAACTTAAGACAATAAAGGCTTTTGACTCTCATGGTTATAAAAAGTGGTAAATAGCAACTAACAGCGAAAGACATACAGAGGGTGAACAACTGAAATTGTATTTTATTGAATAGTTCCCTATTCTCTCTAAACAATAGCCAATGTCAAATGGAACTTGCTATGCCAGCACAACTCATGTGAATTTGTATTTGAATGAGGACAGAAGAGAGAGCGCAAGAACAAGATGAGTCTCTAGCCATCTTCCAGCTGCCCCTCTGGTCCAGACTCGTAACTGAGACAAAATTGAAGATAATCAAATCTTACATTTAGTGGCTAAGTGAAACCAAACATTGATTTGAAGAGTCTGGCAGCACCCAGCACACGGGAAGCCTGGCAGCACCGAGCACACGGGGAGCCTGGCAGCACCCAGCACACGGGGAGCCTGGCAGCACCCAGCACACGGGGAGCCTGGCAGCACCCAGCAGGGGAGCCTGGCAGCACGGGGAGCCTGGCAGCACCCAGAACACGGAGCAGCCTGGCAGCACCCAGCACACGGGGAGCCTGGCAGCACCCAGCACACGGGGAGCCTGGCAGCACCAGCACACGGGAGCCTGGCAGCACCCAGCACACGGGAGCCTGGCAGCACCCAGAACACGGGGAGCCTGGCAGCACCCAGAACACGGTGAGCCTGGCAGCACCCAGAACACGGTGAGCCTGGCAGCACCCAGCACACGGTGAGCCTGGCAGCACCCAGAACACGGTGAGCCTGGCAGCACCCAGAACACGGTGAGCCTGGCAGCACCTAGCACACGGTGAGCCTGGCAGCACCCAGCACACGGTGAGCCTGGCAGCACCCAGGGAGCCTGGCAGTACCCAGAACACGGGGAGCCTGGCAGCACCCAGCACACGGTGAGCCCTGGCAGCACCCAGCACACGGGGTGACTGGCAGCACCCAGCACACGGGGAGCCTGGCAGCACCCAGCACACGGGGTGACTGGCAGCACCCAGAACACGGTGAGCCTGGCAGCACCCGGGGAGCCTGGCAGTACCCAGAACACGAGGAGCCTGGCAGCACCCAGCACACGGTGAGCCTGGCAGCACCCAGCACACGGTGAGCCTGGCAGCATCCAGCACACGGTGAGCCCTGGCAGCACCCAGCACACGGGGAGCCTGGCAGCATCCAGCACACGGTGAGCCCTGGCAGCACCCAGCACACGGGGAGCCTGGCAGCACCCAGCACACGGGGTGACTGGCAGCACCCAGCGAGCCTGGCAGCACCCAGCACACGGGGAGCCTGGCAGCACCTAGCACACGGGGTGACTGGCAGCACCTAGCACACGGGGTGACTGGCAGCACCCAGCACACGGGGAGCCTGGCAGCACCCAGCACACGGGGAGCCTGGCAGCACCCAGAACACGGGGAGCATGGCAGTACCCAGCTAACCAGCTCCATGTATTAGAGCCGAATCAGCCATCTACTAAACCCATAGCCCACTTCTAGTGCAGGACACGGTGTGCTCTGAGCGCCTCGGCTGGAAACACGCTCTGAGCACACCGGGTTCCGCCTTCCTCCAGGAAGCAATCCGGGCTGCGGGGAAGATGCTGTAGTGGGAACGGAAGTGGCCTGGAGTGGAGCACAGCGACGATGAACAACAAATTCGATGCGTGAGTTGCAGCCCCGCAGCCTGAGTGAATGTGTGTTCACCACGTGTGATAACACAATGGGGGGAAGGAATATAACAACACATATAGGCTGTTACTACTGACACCAACTCACTGCTCCCACCAGCATGCATGCCAGCATTGTGCCAGCATTGTCACTGGGGAGATGTACACAGTGTAAAGTGCCAGGACACAACTGGGCAAATAGCTGCTCTGCACCACATAACAGCATGGGATAGTGCTGGCAGCAGTATGTAGAAATATATCAACATTCAACAGCATAACACAATGTGACATGGATCACTGAACCACTGTATTGACACCATAGCAACAGGTTGATCAACATTTGAAATTGTATTCATAAAACACAACATTTAGGGCACAGTATACAAGATTTACATTCAAACTCGCTTATTTCTCAACTAAAATTTGGAAATTTACTTTTTCATTTTCTTGGCCACAGTCAAATCTATAATGAAAAAAAACATTGCAGGCAAACGAAAAGTGAAGCATCAAGTTTGAAATATGTTTACTGCTGCATAAAATGTTATGCTCAATTTCTGGATGGCATTAATCCATCCGTTCTTCACAAACACACACACACACACACACACATTATAATGGAATATCGTAGATGTTATGTATATTTGTGATGTGCGAGTGAACGAGAATGTTATAAAGAAAATATTGGTTGAAAGCAAATTTCGGTATATGTAGTACACATTTGCTAGTTCTCAGTTTCAATATAGGAATATAATATGTTAAATATGCAGAGATATGCTGATCTGGAAATATACATTGGTTTGAAGATTTAACAACTAGTAACACACCCTAGTATGATGCTCTAATTTGTAATCTTTATTTGTTTGAATCTTTATCCCCCAGTTTGAAAGATGATGACAGTGGGGATCATGATCAGAATGAAGAGAATGGCACACAGAAAGACAGTGAGAAGGAAAAAAATGACAAGGACAAGAATCAAGGAACCTCTAGAAAGAAGGTATTACCAACAATTCTGTTATCTCCGATACAAAATAAACTCCATTACATACTTTGTGAGTGAGCATGATGAAAGCTGTGAAAATCTCAAGGTTTACTGCAATTAAAAGGACACTCCACTACAAAAATACTAAATAAATCAAAATCACTGTTTAGTAGATTTGCCCAATAAATAAAAACACAAAAAAACGTATTAAATTATGATTATTTTTTTCTCTTGGGGGTATATCTAAAACCAGCTTGCAGTTCTCTTATCTGCATCTTTTGAAATCTGCAGTTTTTCCAAAATGAAAAAAACAGGACACACTTTTCACATACAAAATCTTTTAACCCCTTACGGACACATGACATGTGTGACATGTCATGATTCCCATTTATTCCAGAAGTTTGGTCCTTAAGGGGTTAAGCAAGCTAAAGTGCTTTAGGTGCAAGGAGTATCCCTTAAAAGTTTGTTAAAGGGACACTCTGAACACGCTAGTGGGCTGTAGTTGTTATTGTGCCAGGAATGCCCTGCTGCTTCCCACTCTAAGTTGTGAAACCGTTTTAGAACGATTTGACTTTTTACCTAGGATCTGCTAGATGGTGCTTATCAACACTACAAATCACTGAGGACTGAAAGCTTTCTACTTTGAGCTAAGCCTAGCAGTGTAAAGCTTAGCTCTTTATCTTAGCAAGATCAGTTAATGTTCTCAGCCAATAAGCTAGCCCTGTACTGCAAAAGGAAGTTCTCTTCTGGCTGTCACTGGACTGTACTGAGTTGAGGATCGATCTCTCAGGAGTTCTCTCAATTATTCTAAAATTGTTTGACTACTTAGAATGAGGGGTGCCAGGTAACTTGAAGCACCATAACCACTACAGTGCTTTGAATTGGTTATACTGCCTGGAGTGTTCCTTTAATACACATTAGCGCAATGCAGCATGTTATGTAAGTAGTCATAATTTACATAAACATCCACATGTCCAACTGATATATCAGTTTATATGTATGTCAGGCCCATCATGCATTTCTAAAGTAACTTATTTGAATTTTTCTCAGACTGTTGTTCCAGGACCAGCTGAGCACCCTTTGCAGTACAATTACACATTTTGGTACTCCCGCAGAACGCCAGGAAGACCAACCAGCTCCCAAAGCTACGAGCAGAACATTAAACAGATTGGTACCTTTGCCTCTGTGAGTACATAATGTTTGTCAGTGCATTTTCTTCAGATACTCTAATCATGGAACATGAGATAGTGGTGAAAAAAGAGATGATGGTTAAGTCACACCAACTATACACATTCACTCACATCCAATAAATGTACAGAAGGACTAAAATTAGGTTTCAGTCATATTCAATACCTCCAAAACATGTATCACGCATAGTTAACATGTATATTGAGATCATCTCATTCAGAGAGATTTTCCTCTAAAAATGGTAGGTAAACATATGAAATACATTTTAATTACAATTCTCCATAAAAAGAAAACAATCTATAATTTCCTTTTTTTTTTTATCTTATATTATGCTTTTAGACTTTTTTCTGAGTAAGTACCCAAACTGGGTATATTAATTATAGACAAAAAAATTACAGCATTGTTCCAGGATTAAATATTTAATATAAAATTACAATAAGTACTGTTAATAGTTAAATGAACTCTCCGGGCACCAAAACAAGTTCATCTAAATTAAGTTGTTATGGTGGCAGGAGACCCTCTGTCACACTCTTACCTCAAGGTGTTAAACTGTTCTCAAATGGTTTAACCCTATAATTGCCTCTTGGTCTGATCTCAACTCTCCTTCCCTCCTTCCCCCCCAAAGCGGCATTTGGCTTCTGAAATTTGAGTGCCACTCAGCTTATCAGCCTTGCCAGCAGCGCTCTGTGCTTCCTGAAAGTGAAATTTCACAAGCCAGATGCCTCTTTGGAGGGAAGTTTAGATTGGTGCTGGAGGCAACTTTGCAACCGGTTTAACCCCATGAGGTAAGAATGCGCCGGAGGGCTCCTGGCACCACAGCAACTTCATTTAAATTAAGTTGTTATGGTGTCTTAAGTTGACTAAACTGTCTCTTTAAGCCATGTAGTTTTAAAATCATATTAGTATAAAATTTGAATTTGTATTTATTATTTATTTTTTTTCTTAGAAAGCAACTGCTGATATTTCTGTGTCATTGACAGGTTGAACAGTTCTGGAGATTCTACAGTCATATGGTACGTCCTGGGGACCTAACAGGACATAGTGACTTCCACCTTTTCAAAGAAGGCATCAAACCAATGTGGGAGGTAAGGTGCCATATGGAGACAGGGTCAGTGGTAACATAAATTTCAAAAGGATTTCAAAGCAGTGCTGCATTTCATGACATGAAGAATGACCTGAGGGCCAAAACCATAATACTATAGCATATCTGGGTCTCTTTTTGTTTGTTTCATTTGTCTTGGTTTTATTTTACAAATAATCATTAAAGGGACTCTATAAACACCAGAACAATAACAACTCAATGTTATGCTTATTGGGCAAAGAGATTGTCGTTGCAGTTTTAGCCGTGTAAACACTGCCTCTGCTGAGAAATGAAAAGTTTACTGGACTGACATTCAGTGTCTTAATGCTTAAAATAAATATACTGAACGTTCCCCATAGAGATGCGTTGAGGAGATGCTGAGTAGCACAGCACCCCAGCCCTCCAATACTTCTCTATGGGCAAGCTTTTGGATTGACTGAGATTATCAGTATTGATAATTTCAGCCAGATGAGAAGGGGGATTAATCTGTTTTGTTTTTTTTTCTTCTGAGGGGCTCTGTGAACCGAACCAGCTACTGTAACACTGTGACGTTAGAAATACATGTTTTGCTGCACAATGTAACATTTGTTTAGTTGTTTTCCAAATAAAATGCATTTTTACAACTATTTGCTACCGAGTATAGACTGATACAGTTGTGCTCAAAAGTTTGCATACTCTGTCAGAAATTGTGAAATTTTGTTATTGATTTTGAAAATATGACTGATCATGCAAAAAATTTATTTTATTGAAGGATAGTGATCATATGAGGCCATTTATTATCACATAGTTGTGTGGCTCCTTATAACAGATAACAGAAATCAGCCAAATGGCCCTGATCAAAAGTTTACATACCCTTGATTGTTCGGACTTGTTACATCCACAGCTTAAAATGGCAATTAAATGTTAATTTCCCACACCTGTGGCTTTTTAAATTGCAATTAGTGTCAGTGTATAAATAGTCAATGAGTTTGTTAGCTCTCACGTGGATGCACTGAGCAGGCTAGATACTGAGCCATGGGGAGCAGAAAAGAACTGTCAAAAGACCTGAGTAACAAGGTAATGGAACTTTATAAAGATGGAAAAGGATATAAAAAGATATCCAAAGCCTTGAAAATGCCAGTCAGTACTATTCCGTCACTTATTAAGAAGTGGAAAATTCGGGGATTCTTGATACCAACCCAAGGTCAGGTAGACCAAGAAAGATTTCAGCCACAACTGCCAGAAGAATTGTTCGGCATACAAAGAAAAACCCACAGGTAACCTCAGGAAAAATACAGGCTACTCTGGAAAAAGAAAGTGTGGTTGTTTCAAGGACCACAATACAATGATACTTGAACAAAAATGAGCTGCATGGTCAAGTTGCCAGAAAGAAGCCTTTACTGCACCAGTGCCACAAAAATGCCTGGTTACAATATACCCGACAACACCTTGACATGCCTCACAGCTTCTGGCACACTGTAATTTGTGAGTTATAAGACCAAAATAGAGCTTTATGGTCACAACCATAAGCGCTATGTTTGGAGAGGGGTCAACAAGGCCTAAAGGGAAAAGAATACCATCCCCAGTGTGAAGCATGATGGTGGCTCACTGATGTTTTAGGGGTGTGTGAGCTCTTAAGGCACTGGGAATTTTGTGAATATTGATGGCAAAATGAATGCAGCATGTTATCAGATAATACTGGCAGACAATTTGCCGCCTTCTGCACGAAGGATGCGCATGGGACGCTCTTGGACTTTCCAGCATGACAATGACCCTAAGCTCAAGGCCAGGTTGACCCTCCAGTGGTTACAGCAGAAAAACGTAAATGTTCTGGAGTGGCCATCACCGTCTCCTGACCTTAATATCATTGAGCCACTCTGGGGAGATCTCAAACATGCGGTTCATTTAAGTCAGCCAAAGACTTTGCATGACCTGGAGGCATTTTGCCAAGACGAATGGGCAGCTATACCACCTGCAAGAATTAGGGGCCTCATAGACGACTATTACAAAAGATTGCATGATGTCATTGATGCTATAGGGGACAATACACAGTATTAAAAACTATGGGCATGCAGACTTTTGAACATGGTCATTTAATTTTTTTCTTCATTGCCATGTTTTGTTTTATGGGATGTGCCATTCTGTTATAACATACAGTTGGATATGAATCCCATAAGAAATAAAACAAATGTGTTTTGCCTGCTCACTCATGTTTTCTTTAAAAATGATACATATATTACCAATTCTCCAAGGGTATGCAAACGTTTGAACACTACTGTACATATGTCTTACAATATTCCATCTGATATATTGTTGTTTCTTTCATCCAAGGGTAGGAAAGCAAATCCTTATGGTGGACACTACTCAAAATGTGAGATTAGAAATATGACACAAGTCATGCTTTTTCCTAGTTTTCTGTTTGAATAGTTGTCCATTAAAATATTCACAATGTTTTGAATCTGAAGAGTAAGTTTTATAATGTTTAGATACTACAGTGGGTATTAAGTCACTCAAATAGAAGAATCAGGAGGAAAAGGGAATAAGGAAGTAACGAATGGGACAGAAACATAAAAACAGTGGCAGAGGTTGGGTTCCAAGCAAAAGCAATTGGTAAAAGGTCGGTGTACTCCAAGCTAATGGTTTGTAACAAAAGTAGTATTGTTCTAAGTAGGTAATAAGTTGCCTTTGTAAGAAGTAGAAAAACCATTCCAGTTTAGTATGTTGTCTACCCTCAATAGATCCAGTAAAGAGAGTACATCATCAGCCAACGTTAGGGTTTTGTTTTTGTTTGTTTGTTTTTGCAAAAAGGTTTGAATGCCTGTTTAAGAATCTAAAGGTTCATTGATAAAGCCCTGTTAGAAAGTTATGGTTATCAGTAAGTGGGCATAATAGACCATATTCAGTTGAGAATGACAGATAATCAACATGATCTATAAATAGGCATCATGATCTATCCAAACCACTGCTGAAATCATCTATCCAGCTACCTCCTGTTCTAAAATGGGTGACTGTTTTTTATTGTCTGATTTATGCCATTACGCCACTCAAGAAAGATGCAGTGCCTTTCTGCAGAATTATAACTGAAAAAATACAGTTACTTATTAGGCTAAAGAAGAAGTTAAGTTTAACTGGTCGTCCGGTTTAAACAAGTAAGATAAACATTGTATAGGTGATGTTAAATTAAAAAAACAGCTTTTCTTTATAAAAGAATATCTCTAGATTAATTCCATCACCACTATCTGTTTTGGCAGTCACCAGACTAATGCTTTTTAAACAGAATGAGGAAGTGATTGTCTGCAAGAACAAATCAACCTATCTGCCAGTCCAATGCTTTTCATAGAATATTTTTTTAGGACTTTTGTAAAAGTGACAATTTCTTTAGGTACTGATTTTAGCACTATAGGGTCAGGGATACATGTTTGTGTTCCTGACCCTATAGTGTTCCTTTAATTTGATCTTAAATGCTTCCATATTATGCTCACTATTTCATAAGTGCTTTCTAATATGAATGTTTGAATATAGGCTAACACTATTAGTTATTACAAGATGCAAACAAGCATACAAGTGCATACTTCTCTGTAAATGCATTTCAAGCAGAAACTACCAGTAAAAGCAGAAGTGGTCATAGCAGTTGGAGTAACCCTGTAAAGTATGCGGCACCTTATTACCTGTGCCTCACATTTCCTTTCTCTAACCCCATTTTGTATTTGTGTCCTATTTCACCCACGTCTTTTTTACATCATTCTCATTTTCCAAACCATCAATTCCTCTAGTAAGGAGCATGTAATTCTGGTCTGGACTGATCTTATGCCAAAACAAACAATACATTTTTTGACTCAGGAGACTCAGCATGTACAGACTCTTTCCACAATAACAACTACTATGACATGTAGTGTTTATGGTGTTTAGAAAAGTAACACCAAATAGGCATGTACCTCGTTTTACTGATCAGAGGGAAATTGCAACGTGTCTGTTTTTGTTTTGTTAGTTTTAAGGACCCCCACACACAGCTTTTCTGATTAAATGTTAAGCAACAGTTTACGTTTTTAAGTAACACTATAGTCACCAGAACAACTACAGCTTAATATAGTTGTTCTGGTGTCTATATCCTGTCTCTGCAGGTTTTTTTTTGCTGTAAGCCGTGCCTTTTGAGCAAGAAGGCAATGTTTACATTACTGCCTTGGAACACCTTTAGTGGCCACTCCTCAGACGGCCTCTAAACGCTGCATTTGCACTTTGTGATATCATTTACGACTTCAGGCTGAAACTATTTTTTTGGCAATATATTTTTTCAAGTAAACAATAGGATACTTACCTTTAAATTAAATTTGAGTGTGATGTTATTTTATATTTTAGGATTTGGCTAGAAGGTTTTTTTTTGGTGGGTAACCTCAATACCGGCACCACAAAGCCGGTTGAGTGCCAGCATTCATTCAAGTTTGTCTATTCATATATCTTATCCATGTTCTCTGTAGGATGATGCAAATAAAAATGGTGGGAAATGGATTATCCGTTTGCGCAAAGGTTTGGCATCACGCTGCTGGGAAAACCTGATCTTAGCAATGCTGGGAGAGCAGTTTATGGTTGGAGAAGAGATATGTGGTGCAGTTGTCTCCGTTCGTTTCCAGGTGAGAAATATAAATGTCAATGAAAACTGTGACAAAATACCACTGGGAATGTAGATCTACCAGCGAAGACCATTACCAAAACGGAAGGTCAAGCCAGCAGCTACAGCTACCCCAGCTGGGTTGGCCTCCAGAAAGGCTTGTCCTTCCTGGCGTTTCCCATGCAGGTGTCAACCCCTCTGCCTGTCCTGCTTTCAACTACTGCCTTTACAAAGGCACTTGTTGCTGTCTGACCTAGCGCTTTCTTAGTATGTCCTAAGGACCAGGGACTAGTGCAGCAAGCAAGCAGGTCCGAAGAATCTGCTACTAGAATCCCCAAACAAACAAGACATGACACACAGTTCCCAATGGAACTAGCACCCATTACTTCATTTTCACTAAGGATTAGCCTCTATACGCTTTACATTAAACTTATGGTGACACACTCAATCCATTATATATAACAAAATCATATGGAGAATCAATCAGGCACTCATAATAATACAATATTTATAGAGGGGTGTGGAAGACAAAGACTAACAAGAAATATGTCCCCTGCCTCCTTAAACCATAATATGCAAATCTACCTGAATATGTAAATTAACAAGCCTTGGTATTCAGGTAGTGCACATAATTGTTGCCACCAACCGGTGGTGCTGCACAGACCCCCACAGCCACACAGGGAAAACACGAGACATTCCCTAAATAAAATTACAATAGACCCTGCACCTATAATAGGCACATGGTGACTTAAACATAAGATTCATCCAGGGACCTACATGAAGTGTCAGAGTTGTACGTCACCATTATCGTCACCTTAACCAATTCAGAAACCTTATAACTGATAAAGAAGCTTGACGTTTATTTTAATGTTGATGTTAATTTTTGACTTGTGAAATTTTGTTGATGTTTGGAGTATTTCCATACTATTAGTATTTGACTTTTTTTGCTTCTTTTAGATTCATATGTATTTTGAAAGCAAATCCACGGCAGAATTTTTTGTATTAATTGGGAAATATATTTGTGTTGTTGTCACCTCGGGTTTTTATTCCACACACAAACTATCTACGTAAACATGCATGTTCTTTAACAGCATCTTCTGTAATCTATCCTAGAATGCTTGTAGATCATGTGCCAAAGTATGCCAGTGGGGCATGTGTGTACACATAAGTAAGTACCTGTAGCTAGTGCATTACATTTAAACTATTTTCTCGCCATAAGTGTATTGAGGCAGCTATTGGCAGACTAAAATAAATGGGTCATCGCATAATATCTTTTTTTTTTTAAGTTATGTTTTATTTATTTCATTTTTTAACTCTCTGGTCATGAAAATCTTTTATGGTGCCTGGATGCTACTGTTGACTCCTTGCCTGTAATCAGGGATTAGTCCAGCTTCTGTCCTCTGGCAGCTTGCAAAAGCAGATGTGTTTGCTTGAGCAGCACTGATACATGTTTCTCAGCTTATTACTGCTGCTAAAGCAAATTCAAGTAAACCACAGTGGGCAAGTTGTGTGAAGTGTTGTATAATGCTGTAGGAGAGGAATAACCTGTTAACTGCTGCTTCCAATCAATTTGAAGGAGGACATAATCTCTATTTGGAACAAAACTGCGAGTGACCAAGCAACCACAGCTCGAATCCGAGACACTTTGCGAAGAGTCCTGAATTTGCCACCCAACACTGTTATGGAATATAAAACCCATACGGACAGTATCAAGTACGTACAGATTAGCACACTAATCTCACATATATATATTATTTTAACCTTTGTGCATGAATGTTCTAGAACGATATGATTTGAAAAATCACCACCAATGGAGCAAACATTTAATAGATTTGACCTAGATAAGCATTTGTTAATAATTAGAATGAGACATATTGATGGCGCACAGTTAAAATAATAGAATCCACCAGTGCAACTGATATAGTCATCCATCCCCGTGTAGTTAATTCCTATGCACATACTTTTAAGATTTTCAATTTGTTTAAAATAGGTTAATATTTCTTTAAATAATTTTAACAGTTTATCCAAAAAATTTTAATAATTTGGAAAGCTTATACAACAATATTAAATTAAGGCCTTAGTGAGCATATAGGTATTATTGTAATACAGAAAGTTTAGTAAATTAAAGGGACCGTGAAAGCACCATATCATTACAGCATATTTCAGTTGTCATGATGCAATCAGTAGTTGGGTGCCATCCTTCTGGTTTATGTTATTCAATTTTTTATTAACTAGGACACTTCTAGCAAATAAATCCCACCTCTGACATAATGATATATTTCACATCTATGTTATCTTTCTAAGTTTGTGTGGTAGTGATGGGAGGTGAGCACCAAGAACAACTTAGCATAGTGTTGGCAGTCTTTAATTGTTGTACCATAGGCTATAGTGGTTATAGTACATAGAATATTGCTTCAAAGGCTACCTGTCATGGTACATATAACTTATGCTCTTTTAAAGAGCACATAGGTCAATCTAGCAGGTTTTATAGAGTATGTAGAGATTGTGAGAACAGCCATTTAAAAATCATTTCCCCCCCCCCCCAGCTGTCAATCAATTGACTGACAGGGAGAGCAGACCACAGGTCCATTTGCTTTTCAGACTTAGCAATCACAGTGTGTGCTCTTATGTTTGTTCTGGTAACTACCTAGCTGATGTTGCTTATGCTGGCTGGGAAGGATAGGAATGAAGTGACTGACATCACTCTGTTCAGATGCTGGCATTGAAGCCAGAGTGTCATCATCACAGTGGAGGCTGGCGGAAGGGTCCTCTAGCAGTGAAAATCAAAAAAAGAGAGGAGGTGGGGTGGTAGGTGGGTGTTACAGAACAGTAACACTCTGGAAGGTGAAAGCATGGCAGTGCTGGATAAAGGGAAGTTGAGTTAATATCTCAATATTTTACATTAAATACATATCTTTGTGATGACAGGTTCATTTTAATAACTCATCTAAACTGAGCTGCTCATGTACTACAATTATGCGTTCTAGTGCGGAGGTGAGTATGCCTTGATAAGAGTACATTATATATTCCCTTTCATTCATTTTATGATATTCATTGCCAAAGCTGCACTGCCAACAAGGTGATAACGAAGATAAGAAACTGAAGTCAGTTATCATGCTCACCTTAGTAAAGAGATACATGTGATTTTAAATAGAAAGGGTGTGAAGCAGGATAAATAACCAGACTGTATTGAGAGGTCAGTAGTTTTGTCTTATTCCCTTTTGCAGTCAAAGACTTTGTTAAAGGGACACTATGGTCACCAAAACAACTTTAGCTTAATTAGGCTGTTTTGGTGTATATATCATGCCCCTGCAGTCTCACTGCTCAGTTCCCTGCCATTTAGGAGTTTAATCACTTTGTTTATGGAGATCTAGCCACACCTCCCTGCATGTGATTTACACAGCCTTCCTAAACACTTCCTGTAAAGAATCATCTAATGTTTACACATCCTTTATTACAAATTCTGTTTAATGTAGAATTTCTTATCTCCTGCTCTGTTAATAGCTTGCTAGACCCTGCAGGAGCCTCATTTATGTTATTAAAGTTTAATTTACATAGCAGTATATAAAAACTTTCAAAGTAAGTTACATCTGATTGAAAACCATCTTTTTAAATTTAGACTGTGTCAGTCACGGCCAGGAGAGGTGTGTCTAAGGCTGAATAAACAGAAACAAAAGTGATTTAACTCCTAAATGGCAGAGAATTGAGCAGTGAGACTTCAGAGACATGATTTATACACTAAAACTGCTTCAGCAAACTAAAGTTGTTTTGGTGATTATAGTGTCCCTTTAACCTTACATTTACTATGTGGAAATTTTCCACTGATAGTTATTTAAATGTAAAGGTGCAAAACCACAAAATGGTAAACACTATTGAAAGTTCACATTTTACTGAAGTATTTTAACTCCTGAAGCCCAACCCTAAATGTATCCCTAACCCTATGCTTATAATAACTCTAACCATATACCTTCCCTACTCTAACCTTAACCCCACACTATCCCAAGTCCTAAAACAGCATTACCATTATTTTACCCTAACTTTACAATTAACCCTACCCTAAGAAAATACTCTACTGATATCAAAAGATGGGTTTCCTAGCTAAAAGAGTAAAGAACTCTGTGACCATTTACTGGCTGTTTTCAGCATTCTTTCCCAGCCGATTACATCAGCATGGGGTATGGAGTCAGCATGGTGTCTCCCTTGAGTACTTGCAAGCTGTAAGCCATGAAGCACCACAGCTGAGTGCAATTCACTCAGTCACAGTGTTCTCAATGGATTTAAAGGGCTGTATGCAGCACTAAATTTGAGCACTGTATACAGCTTATCGATCTGTGACCTCTAAATGTGGCCCCAGCTAACAGTTGGATTTAACTCCGCTCACACCAAAACATTAGACTGTTCCTTGCCGTCCTAATGGCGTTAAAGCCCACTCTGTGGGGGACATAAAATGTTATCAAGGGGTTAAGGATACAGTTTTGTTTTTTTTGTTTGTTTGGTTTTTTTGCAGCTATAGATTATCGTGATTTTTAAAAACTGAGCTAATCACATAGGCGTGTGAGCGTGAGCGTGTGCGTGTGTGCGTGCGCATCCATAACCAACAAACAATAACACAGTACCGTGCAGTACTTAAGACATGATCAGTTTCACCAAGATGGTTTTGTGAGGAGTTGGCTTGAGAACCTTTTAGTAAATATGAGAACTTCTACAATAATAAAGTTAGTAAAATATAAAAAAAAAAAAATATCCTAGAATACAAACTTTACACATTTCAGCATTTGTTTTGAGATTAAATAAACCTTATGCACACTGACTAATTTGCATAGTGCGCAAAATAAGCTGAATTCTCGGGCATGTTTCCTGTGTGTCTAAGGGTTTGTTGGCTGCAAAAATACACGTAAAGCTGTATTTAGTTGACTATTTACAGTTCAGCTATTTAATAAAGTCATTTTTATCTCTGGCTGCCCAGGGCCTTGGAAGAATTTCACGGCCTGGTGAACAGCAACGGCCTCTGAGTGAAATCTCCCTGCTCCCCGCACCCAGTGGTAGGGCATTATTTAAATTTTTCCATGTAGTTAAATATATGTATATTTCTGTTTGGGCAGAGGTAAATCATATATTATTGTGTGTATGTATTGCAGCAACATAACATAGGGATATACAATGTATATCTCTATCTATGACCACAAAAGCAATCATCCGAAGAGATTGTCTACTTTAAGGTTCCTCGTGTTTTTATCATCTGGAATGTTATTGTGCCAATGACATACTATAAAAGTTATGATTTAATCTCTGTCGCTCTTTTTTTATATTTGTTTTTTTTTTTTTTTTTTATTGTAGGGACAAAACAAGTTTTCGAAACACAAAGATTGCATTGTGAGAATACAGAGCCATTGCTGATCTCATTTCCATTTTGAAATCTACTATCTGCTCCAGACAGTGTTTTTCCATAATATGCTCTACTAGCACAATTAACCCTTTCCCTGCCAGAGAATCCGGTATTCCATCTCTGTCAGCAACGTGGTTACGATTGGCGTTTCAGCTAATCATCATTTTTCTCCTCTGCTACATCAGTCCTTATGCTGTGACTGTCCACTAAAGCTGCTGCCTCGGAGGAAAAGCACCAAAACTTTATTTTAGTAAACACATTTTGTTTGCTTAGCTGTTTTATTATTTTTGATTTACATGGGAGGAAAGGTGGTCGGTATTAAACCTTTTTTTTTTTTTATCTGATAGCATGTTCACTCCAGCACTTACGGAGTTATATGCTCCTTTCTCCCGACAAGTTAACCTTTCCTCCAAGAAATTTGCCTTGTAACTTTTCTTCAGCACTTTGTTAGTTTCCTTTCATGTTTTTTGCAAAGGATTTTGTGTATAATGTTTATCTCATTAGCAGACACATTACTGAGACAGATCGGTATTACGCTAAATGTTGTTGTACATAGGGAAAAAAAACAATCCTTTAATTTTTGCCTGCTGATGTGTGGAAGTGTCAACTCCTGCCCAAGAGCGGTCATTAAATGATTGGGTCTTTGTTCATTCTTACTGTCAGATTATTATTACTATTATTTTTTGTAATGATTCTGTGAAATAAGTACCATCTGAGCATTGAACATCCCAATAAATGACTGTTCGCTGGATAATGCAGGGCAAATTCTTAGGATTTGCATGTATTGAAGTGGGCTCCCCTGAAATAAGAGAGTATTTGAAGGCCTTCAAACCAGCCTTAGTGCTTTGTGTGAAAACTTTGTGCATATCCTATAAACCCATGCACAGCACAGGGTATTGTGGAGACTGTAGTTCAGCTGATAAATGGCTTAATAATAGCAAAAAAAAATGTGTGCAAGTGTGCAAAATAATAGTATCTAAGAACATGCTTTTCATTAGTGAAGCTACTTATGCAGCCAATAATAGAAGCCAAAGACAGATAGTGTTCCTTCTTCAAACTCTAGAGTTAAAATTCACAGAATGTGTCAAAAATTAAGAGTACTACATATATTGCATCACCTTTAAACAGTGCAACACAAATATTTCATATAAATAATACACTTCCTAAAAATGTGTTTTATAAAATGCAGTGCTCTATACAATAAAAATACCCCAAATCAGTATTATTATAAGAAGTATCTCAGTGCAGTATCAAGTACCATATTATATACTATGTAAAATGTTCCCAAAAATATGTTTCTAGTGCATATAGGACACTGTGAACACACTCAAAGACTGTGCCAATAATAATATCATATGGTCGGTTTCCTCTTGGATTAATGGCTCTCAATTGACCTCAAAAAGACTACCATGATTATTTAAGGACTACGAGAATGCATGCCAAAACTTATGATGTGACACTATTTAAAGAGGATGCCTAAGGGACAGCATGATGACTGAAGAAGCCTACATTTTAGAGAAGTGAAGTGTGTTTCAAGAGTTAATCTCCAGTTTATGTTCATTTGAATAAAGTCTGTTTGAGAATGAATTTGGGAACTTCTGGATTCAAATTCAAATTGGATATTTTGCAGTGAAAGGGAGGTGTTGTCCTGCAAACAGACGCTATGGCCTGAAATTTGAGTATTTGAAAGAAACTTTTGAGATTTGCTGCAATATATTTAAAATCTATTACACTATATATATATATATATATATATATATGTGTATATATATATATATATATATATATATATATATATACACACACACACACACACACTATATATACTTCTTTTGATGTCACCTGTATCAATTGGTGGAGGAGGAGTAAACCTACAGAAGGAAGGGGGGATTCACCCATTATTGTTTCCAAACCAGAGAGAACAGTGCCACTTTAAGGTGAATGTGAGTTTGCATTCTCAAAGTGATATATATATATATATATATAATTTTTCCCCACCATAACCTTTTTAGTTTTTGCTTCCTATATATATTTATATAAATGTAAAAATAGATAACATTTGTATCTTGAAAAACCTTTTTTTATTGGACTAACAGAATTTTTTAATGACAAGCTTTGGGAGAACCTCCGTTTCTCAAGTCTAAAGCATTTCTGACACATAGAATTCAAAGTTGAGTTGTGATACAGAGGTTAAAGCGACATGGAGTGCAGGTAAGACACAGGTTTGATGCAGAGGGTTGTAAATATCTTGTGTGAAGAACACAGAGTGAGGGGGGAGAGAGAGAAAAAACAAGTAAACAGTGCAGAAGATGGTGCTAGAAGGGGGCAGTAAAAAAATAAATTACTTATATTAAGTTACAGGATATGCATGAAGGCCTATATCCAGCATACACAGACACACTCACACACATGTACATATACACAAGTAGTGTATATGTACAAGTATACACAAGTACATACACATTATATACAAGTACATACAACAATACACATATAAATACAACCAAATATATGTACATGCACACCTACACATACATGTACCTACACATATACCAATGTGCCTACCCATACATAGACCCATATATCACTGCTGATTTGGGATTTCTGTGGGAAAAGCAAGTCTTATGGCTTGACTGGTGTGCAGATTTTTGTTTAGCATTGTATTAACTATCCACATACTTCAGGTGGAAGGGGTTTTCAATCACAATTTTTCCCCACCATAACCTATTTAGATTTTGCTTCCCAAGCACTACCAAGCCTCAATTAGCAAACCAGTAACCAACCTCATGCTGAAGAGTTGCATTAACAACGAAACAGCTGTCCATGAGTGGTTCACTGGTTTTGCATCTTATCCTAAATTGTGTTCCAAGCAGTTGTATACTGCAAACACAAATTAAAAGGAATCCATGTTTAAAATGGAATGAGGCAAAAATGTGATTCTTTGTTAAACTAATTTGCATATGCCCACCCAGAATCCTTTGCGGTTGTAACATCACTGCTGATTTGGGATTTCTGTGGGAAAAGCAAGTCTTATGGCTTGACTGGTGTGCAGATTTTTGTTTAGCATTGTATTAACTATCCACATACTTCAGGTGGAAGGGGTTTTCAATCACAATTTTTCCCCACCATAACCTAATTAGATTTTGCTTCCCAAGCACTACCAAGCCTCAATTAGCAAACCAGTAACCAACCTCATGCTGAAGAGTTGCATTAACAACGAAACAGCTGTCCATGAGTGGTTCACTGGTTTTGCATCTTATCCTAAATTGTGTTCCAAGCAGTTGTATACTGCAAACACAAATTAAAAGGAATCCATGTTTAAAATGGAATGAGGCAAAAATGTGATTCTTTGTTAAACTAATTTGCATATGCCCACCCAGAATCCTTTGCGGTTGTAACATCACTGCTGATTTGGGATTTCTGTGGGAAAAGCAAGTCTTATGGCTTGACTGGTGTGCAGATTTTTGTTTAGCATTGTATTAACTAACTATATATATATATATATATATATATATATATATATATTTATGGAACAACAAGATTTGACAGCTAAGGAAAGAATTCTCACCACCTTGCCCCTCTATTTCTCAACCACACCTGGATCATGCCTTTCCTACCCTTCAGACTTTCTCCCAAGCTACTGAACAAGAGGGGGCTGCGCTTCTCCTTTCCTCTCGCCCAACCACTTGCCCGCTTGATCCTGACCCGTCTCACCTTATCAGATCTCTCTCCTCTCGTCTTGTGCCTTCCTTAACACACATCTTCAACTGCTCTCTCTCTTCTGGTGTTGTTCCTGCTGCCATTAAACATGCTACTGTAGTACCCATCTTAAAAAAACAAAACATTTCTTGACCTGTCCTCCCCTTCTAACTATCGTCCTATATCCCTGCTCCCCTTTTCCTCAAAGCTTCTGGAAAGACTGGTCTTTAACCGTCTGACTTGTTTCCTCAATTCCAACTCTATCGACCATCTTCAGTCTGGCGTCCTCCCCCTCCACTCTAATGAGACTGCTCTTATTAAAGTCACTAATGACCTAATCATAGCTAAATCCAAAGGGCACTACTCCATACAAATTCTTCTTGACCTCTCTGCTGCCTTTGACACTGTTGACCATATTCTCCTTCTCCAAACTCTTTAACCACTCGGTCTCTGTGACACTGTCCTCTCTTGGTTTCCTTCTATCTCTCCCAAAGCTCATTCAGTGTCTCCTTTTCTAATGATACCTCCTCCCTTCGTCCTGTCTCTGTTGGAGTCCCCCAAGGCTCTGTATTTGGTCCCCTTCTATTTTCTCTTTATACTGCCTCTCTTGGCAAACCTATTACCTCATTTGGATTCCAATACCTCCTGTACGCTGATGACACTCAGATATACCTTTCCTCCCCGGACCTCTCCCTTGCCGTCTTGCAACTTGTCACTGCTTGCCTTTCTTCCATCTCTGATTGGATGTCCTCCTGCTTTTTGAAACTCAATCTCTCTAAAACTGAACCCCTTGTCTTTCCTCCTCCTAATACTGATCCTCCTCCTTCGTTCTCCCTTTAAGTTAGTGGTTACCACATCAGTCCATCCTTGCAAGCGTGCTGTCTTGGCGTTATACTTGAGTCTGACCTCACATTTGAGCCTCACATCCAGTCTGTTACCAAATCCTGTAGGTTCCACATTAAAAACATAGCCCACATCCACCCCTTTCTTATGCTAGATGCTACTAAGGAGCTTGTCCATGCTCTAGTAATCTCTCATATGGATTATTGTAACTCTTTCCTAATAGGTCTTCCCACAAGTCGTATTGCCCAGCTACTGTCTGTAATTAATGCTGCAGCTAGACTGATTTTCCTCTCCTGTCGCTCCTCTCACACCTCTCTCTGTCAGTCCTTACATTGGCTTCCTGTATGCTATAGGAGTGAATTCAAGGTACTAATCCCACCTGTAAAGCACTGACCAATTCTAGCCCCTCATATCTCTTCATGGATCCGCAGGTATGCCCCTTCTCGGTCTCTCCGTTCTGCCCGTGACCTTCTCCTGTCCGCTGCTTGCACCTGTACGGCCAACTCACGCTTGCAGGATTTCTTATTGGTGACTCCTTTCCTTTGGAATAGCTTGCCTACGACCATCAAGCTCTCCCCTAGTCTTCAGTCATTTAAAAAGTGCCTCAAAACCCAACTCTTTAGGAAAGCTTATGGCCTCCCAGAGTAACCTCTACCTCACCCACCTGTCCCTTGCTCTCTCCTAAAGGGCAGCACTCTATTCTCTCATTCAGCTCTGCTTCACTCCACCTTGTTTGATTGCTACCTCCTGTCCTGTTGTGTTTTACGCCCCACCTCCTATAGACTGTAAGCTCGTTTGAGCAGGGCCCTCTTCAACCTGTTGTTTCTGTAAGTTTTTATTATTGTCTCATTTATTGTTAAATCTCCCCCTTTGATAATATTGTAAGGCGCTATGGAATATACTGGCACTATATAAATACCAGTAATAATAATAATACACCTATTCACGTATACATACATGTATGCATGTATATAAACACTTTATATATACACACCACACAAATATATATATGTATACGCATACACATGAACACATATACATACATGCACATGAACTCATATACCCACATACATATATAAGCATACATGCATAAGAGTATGAGAAAGCATAGGTCTACACATAACACTTTGTATATTGATAGAATAAACATATTGGAATGCCTTTTAAAGTGTCTATACATATGACAGAACACTAAGATAATGTTGGGGAAGTGTTCATGTAAAGTGTTGGTAGTGGGACAGGAAACCCAAATCAATATTTAGTCCTCTATTCTTACAATTTGATCATTCTGGCTTCAAAAGTTTTTCTTTCTTGGGTATTTTTAAAACCCCCTTTCAGTACTTAGATTTTTAGGTCCTTCATTGAGTGGCCAGGAAGGGTAAAGTGATGTCCCACAGGAGTGCAGTAGGATTCTTCTTTGTGGTGTTTGAGTGTCTGTGCATATTCATTCTGCCATTTAATTGCTGGGTGGCATTTGGTGCATTGAATCATGTATACCACATTGCTGGATGTGCAGGAGTATGACCCTTTAAAGGGAAACTATAGTCACCTGAACAACTACTGCTTAATGTAGTTGTTCCGGTGAGATCTATAGCTCCTTGCAGGCAATCTAATGTAAACACTGTATTTTCAGCAAAAATACAGTGTTTACATTAATTGATATGAATACCTCCAGTGGCCGTCACTCAGACGGCCACCAGAGGGACTTCCTATCATGTATGGCCCTAAAAAGGCCATGTACACGTCAGACGTATTAAAATACATCTGACGTGTGCAGGAGAGAGAAGGCACTGTGTGCACGCCTTCTCTATCCTGCCTGTCAGCAGAGGAGAATGCCGCCCATGAAGTATGTGTGCATGTGCGGCGAAACCACGCATGCGCACAAGGGACCAATGACGCTTCCGAATGGAAGCGTCTGATTGCTCTCTGCTCGCGCCCGCCTATTTTGTCATTCACGGCTTCACGAGGCTCCTGGCGCTGGAACGAGGTGAGTAAAAAGGGCTGCCTGGAGTGTCCCTTTAATGCTGTAGGTTGTATTTCTGTGTGTGGCTGTGTTGTCTGTGCATATGTGCTGACACAGTTTGCAGTGAGGTTTTTTGCATCTACTGGTCCCGTTTTCTTTATTCTTCCCATCAGTGGGCAGCTTCCTGTTTATTCAATTTTGTTGTAGGTTTGGTTGTTGTCCGAAGGCCAAAATGGGTGTTTCAGAGAAAATGTTTTTCAGAGTCTCATTTTCTGTTAACATTGGTTGTAAGTCTTTAATGATTTTCTGTATTTCCTCAAGAGCTGGGGTGTAGGTGACCACAAGTGGCACTTGTGTAGATATTTTTTTCTCTCTGTTCTGTAGCAGGCGCGTGCATGGAGTTTTTACAGCAGAGTTGATTTGTTTGGTAATAGTCTTTGGTTTGTAGCCTTTCTGTCTCATAGATTGGGAGAGTGCATTTAGAGGGGAATTATGGTAATTGGGATCAGAGCATATGCGATGGTACCTAGTGGCTTGGCTGTAGATGATGCCCTGTTTAGCATGGGTGAGGTGCAAGCTGGAGCTGGGAAGGTAACTGCACCTGGCTGTGGGGTTTCTGTAAACCGAGGTGTGGATTGTGCCATTGTTACATGTCACAGTGGTGTCCCTAAAACTCACAGATCTAGTGGAATATTCAATTTTTTGTTTGACTGATGGATGGAATGAGTTAAAAGAGTCATGGAACTGTATCAGTTTTTCGATATAGCGATAATATTTGTATGGTTTGGTGTGCTGTATTTTTTGGGAGTGTATCCTGGGAGTGCTGATTTTTTTTCTGTTTTTTATATATATATATATATATATATATATATATATATATATATATATATGCAACACCAATTGTTTACTGAATACCTTCATTTATAGATTTATATTTGCTGAAATTGTAGGCAAAACTGATGAAATCTGCAATATTTATAAATAGTTATTAAATAAATCATGGATTTCACAGTCCCCTTATTAATCAAGAGTGGACAGTGACATGCTTCTGAAAATTGAGTGAGGTATGGTAGTGATGCTCAACCCAATCTCTCGAATGAGTAATTGCTTATCCTCCATCCATTATTAACCCTTTCATTGTTCGATAGAATCAAAAGGACCATTCCACTGGGACCCTCTTAATTAATGGTTAGATGTTTTATTTTAAAAAATTAGGTTTTGCTTTTTCTTTGTTTTCTTTTGGGGGTTTTTGCCTGGTGGCTGCCTGCACAAATTTGCAATATAATTGTTTTAGTGTTAAACCCTAAATGATTCTTCAACCATTTTAGGCACGTTTAGGGACATTCAAGCTGAATTGAATGAGTTTTAATTTGGAACACAATCTGGATCAATAGGCCAGCTGGGTAAGGTTTGGAGTAAGGTAGGTCTAGTGAAATACCTTTGTAATTTATCCTCTGAATTGTTCTGATATCTAAATTGTAATGTATTTTATCCTTTCCATCACTCTGACTAAGTAAACCTCATGGAAGGATAATAAAATGCATATAGGTAGAGATAAAAGACTTGGAGACTGAGAAGATGTGACCTGGGAATTAAGAGAAAGAAGCCTTGGTACTCAAATTTAATTACATTTTAAAAGATTTTATCTATTTATTTTTATTGACTCAGAAGACATCCAAGTCAAGAGGAGACACTGTAAGTGGACATAGTCTTTTCCACACACCGATATCTTCATCCTGTCTGCCAAGTCATTCTTGATAACAATGTTCAGCTCATTTCAAAGAACATATAATTCTGGAATGTAACAATAAAAAAAAATAAACTAGTGTAGTTTCAAAGAAAGGTTATCAAACATGTTATAAAGTTATATGAAAGTTAAAGTACCATAACCACTGCAGCCCAATGTAGTGGTTATAATTTAGGAGTACCCTTGTGCCGTAATTTAGGAGTACCCAGTGCATCTGCTTCTGCATCCTCCTCAGCTTTTGGTCCCCCCCTGACTTCTGCAACATCCCCAGCTCCCATGCTTGTGAATCAGAAGCTACTAAATGAGAAAAGCATTTCTCACACTTGTAGGGGGAATATCGGAATGGAACTTCTGTCATTTCATTCTGATGCAATGTACTGACTCTAAGCCACCATCATCAGGAAGGATTAGCTTGCTTTGGTTAGGGTCCCTACACAGGGCCAATAGCAGTGCAGACGGGAAGGAAGTCCCAAGGGACCAACACCCACGGACTTTTCAGGAGTGACAGAGCTGCAGCCACGGGTACAACATAATCTAGCCCAGTGATGGGCAACCTCCGGCACTCCAGATGCTGTGGACTACAAATCCAATAATGCTCCTAAAGCAATAACACTGGCAAAGCATCATGGGAGATGTTGTTCATAATATCTAGTCTTGCGAAAGTTGCCTGATCTAACCTTTAATAGCTTTCAAAGCAATTAATGGAGCAACCCATAATGCATCTGCTTCTGCATCTTCCTCAGCTTTTGGTCCCCCCCTGACTTCTGCAACATCCCCAGCTCCCATGCTTGTGAATCAGAAGCTACTAAATGAGAAAAGCATTTCTCACACTTGTAGCGGGAATATCGGAATGGAACTTCTGTCATTTCATTCTGATGCAATGTACTGACTCTAAGCCACCATCATCAGGAAGGATTAGCTTGCTTTGGTTAGGGTCCCTACACAGGGCCAATAGCAGTGCAGACGGGAAGGAAGTCCCAAGGGACCAACACCCACGGACTTTTCAGGAGTGACAGAGCTGCAGCCACAGGTACAACATAATCTAGCCCAGTGATGGGCAACCTCTGGCACTCCAGATGCTGTGGACTACATATCCAATAATGCTCCTAAAGCAATAACACTGGCAAAGCATCATGGGAGATGTTGTTCATAATATCTAGTCTTGCGAAAGTTGCCTGATCTAACCTTTAATAGCTTTCAAAGCAATTAATGGAGCAACCCATAATGCATCTGCTTCTGCATCCTCCTCAGCTTTTGGTCCCCCCCTGACTTCTGCAACATCCCCAGCTCCCATGCTTGTGAATCAGAAGCTACTAAATGAGAAAAGCATTTCTCACACTTGTAGGGGGAATATCGGAATGGAACTTCTGTCATTTCATTCTGATGCAATGTACTGACTCTAAGCCACCATCATCAGGAAGGATTTGCTTGCTTTGGTTAGGGTCCCTACACAGGGCCAATAGCAGTGCAGATGGGAAGGAAGTCCCAAGGGACCAACACCCACGGACTTTTCAGGAGTGACAGAGCTGCAGCCACGGGTCAACATAATCTAGCCCAGTGATGGGCAACCTCCGGCACTCCAGATGCTGTGGACTACATATCCAATAATGCTCCTAAAGCAATAACACTGGCAAAGCATCATGGGAGATGTTGTTCATAATATCTAGTCTTGCGAAAGTTGCCTGATCTAACCTTTAATAGCTTTCAAAGCAATTAAACATATCAATTGTCTTAATGATAAATTATATATTTCCTACAAATAAGTTTAAGTCCTGTGTGATGCAGATCGGCTGGCTCATTTTTATGATGTTTCAATGCAAAGCAATAAGATAAAATCTAGTTTATTATCTGCTCAGTGGATATACATAACATTTTTTCTACTTTGTACCACTTTACTGCAGATTAATTATGTACGTTATAGATGTGAGTTGTATTGTGGATGCCATGATACAGGCATGTAGTCATACCCACTAGACATTCTGACTCCTAGAATAAAGGCTCACAGGCATGCAGGTTAGATTTCCAAGCTGTTAATCCTTTTTTGAATATGAATGATCTAATATACAGTATAGTTCTCTTACCAATAAAAATGTGGCAGCCAATAGGAGAGCTTTATCAGCAGGACTGAGTGCCGCTGAAACTGTGAAAACAAAATGCAGAGAACACGGATTAATAATGGTAAACTTTTAACATTAAGGTCCGGGCACTGGACGTAACACCACCACTAACTTGTATTTAACTTTATACTAAACAGTATTACTACTGCTGGGGTAACAAACCCAGCAAGCTTTTGGTAAACATGACAAATACTTTCTAACTCTCATGCAGACATTTCTGACCTTAGGGGACCCTATACATTCTACAGGGATTAATAACTGCATCTTCCAATCATTCTTTAAAGACATATGCTCCAATTCCAGATAACGAGGAGGGGAACATCTGATTCCTTCAACAGGCAGACAAATGCCCAGTAGGAAATCCTTAATAGTTTTATCAAAAGGAGGTTCAATGGATGGTATAAATGCTGCATATTAGGTACTTCACAAAGGCCAGGTAGTAAATGCCATTACCACTCTCATCCCTAACAGAGTCCAGGGCCATTTGGATTCCTAAACCTAGTAAGTACCTTTCGCAGTGAGAATCCTATAATACTAATTGTTGCCTGCAACCACATTCCAGGAAATTCATTTAAAAATCTTGCATCAAGCCTATCTTTCACGCAAAAGACTATATGCCATGGGTTTACACCAATCAGACACTTGCCCCAAGTGTGAAACCATGGGAGCAGGTCTGGTGTATTGTTTTACAGACGCTGCTTATAATAAAATATTAGAAACTCGTGAAGAGGTACATAAAATATACATTAAGTATTGCTAACAGGATCTCTGAGAAGGACAGCATTCTCACTATTGGTACAGGGCACCCACAAATTAACAATAAATAAATAAATAAATACAAGTCGTCATGGCTATGGCTTGCAAATTCATAATCGATCAATGGATATTTCCTTATCCTCATTCATTTTCTTTATTTTTCAAAATCTATTTTGCATTCTACATAGATTTATTGCACCTTTCATCAAATAAAAACAACATCAAAACATGCTTTAGTCAATGGAGGTCCTATAACCTATTGGGTTAGATTTTTAAAATAAAATTAAAAATTACATTTGCCTGTACACATTGATTGCTCACAGTGGATCCTAAAACATGTCTATTTCCCTTTATTCATAGTTGAGGAGCCTTTTTTCCATTTATGTCTACCTCTGTTATTCTCAAGTTCTACACTCTTAATGTGTCCATCATATGTGGAACAGCATTTATTATGATTTTATTGTACATATTTACCTACCCCCTAATATTGTCTTTTATTGTATTGCTTCCTTTGAGATATTGGGAAGAGATGTTGGAGGAGATAATGAGGGAAAAGACAAAAGTTAAATTACACTACTATCTGTGCTGCTATTTGTTTGACCAACTTTAGTGCATGACTCTCCATTGGCCTTATAGTAAGCTTTGGTCTTTCCTTCAATATAAATGGTTGATCTAAATGTATTCCACTCTTTTGCAATATACGGCTACCACCATGGGATAACTGAATGTACACATACTGTCCAAACCAAAGAATTCATGGTCCATGTTATAGTCTTCATTATATCCTGGCCATCGCTTCCAAATGATGGCTAAACGTTGTCCATTTAGCGATGTTACCTAGATAAGCAAGAAAGATTTTGAAATCAACTGGAAAACAACACTCACAAATGAAGCTTCTATTGTATGTCTTTGAATAAGAGTTTACCGTAATTACAAAAGAGATTTCATCTCTGGAATATAATGAGAAGAAACACGTATCACAATTGTTACAGTTTATCTGATCATTGTAATCCTTTAATAAAATGTATGAATTAGTTCATAGCTACAATTATGATAGTTTATTTAATTATGGAAAGGGAATGTTTCCTTATCTAGCGTATCATGATAAAAGGGCCAACTGGGATTCAACATAGGAACTAACAACAAATAAGAAAAAAACAGTACTATTGAAATGAATACTGAAATACACCTTGAAATATACGTAATTGTGCGAGGCTATTATAGCCTTTCACAATTACGTATATTTCAAGGTGTATTTCTTTATTCATTTCAATAGTACTATTTTTTTTGTGTTTAGTTCCTATGTTGAGTCCCAGTTGGACCTTTTATCATGATTTAATAAAAGTTAAGTCTTAATCATTTATGGTAATTTTACCATTCTAGTATTCCATTTTCTCTGTATCAAGTGCTGCATCCTCCATTTTTTCTCTCTTATTTGTAGTCCACAGGGGTTAACCCCCACCTAGGAGGTCTTGCACTGGCTCAAATTCTCTTTTTTTTTTTTTTTTCAACAAATCCAATACTTATCTAACGTAACATTGGGTGGACATAGTTTTCTCAATTTGAATGAAGCCCATTATTTAGTTGTGTTACCTGGAACTCCTGATCTGAGTGGCAGCGAGTTGCACTCCACGAGCCCTTAATCTCCATCAACTTTCTTTCCTCTGCATTGTACACTGAGAGGCATGGACTAAATAAGCTCCATCTATATCACCAGGGAAGGGACAAATAGAGGTTTTTCGTGGCAAGACAAAGATGACAATGGAAATAACTTTTCCAGATAATATCATTTGATATTGTTAATATAAGCATATATTGACCACTGTTACTGTGTTATTTCTTGATTTTCTTAGTAACTAACGTTATCATAGCTAGGAATTCTTCTTGACTTTCTCTGAGATTCTGTTTTTTTAAAGCTAGTTATCAAAGAACAGGGCTTTCGGGATCATAGGGCTTGTTCATGACATGTTCCAGGTCACTGTGCCAGGCCACCTTATACGTATGTAACACTGACTAAAGCAATGTCTACTTAAGAGTTTATCAGAGCAGAGCAACACATTTGGATAATTTACGAAATATGCAATTTGAGAATTTTCTAATTTTCTGTGTTTAGTGAACAGTCTCAATTATGTGCACTGTTCGTGCCATATGCTTTAAAAAACGTATCTACTTCAATTAAAAAATTTTTAAAAATGAAAATGCAGAAAAAGGTTATTCACTCAATTCTGAGAAAGCCATTCTTGCATATTGAGGTAATTCAGAAGTTACATTTATTAGTTTACCAAATTTACTGTCACCTGGCAGTTAACTAACTTTCCCTGAATTCATCTAATTCCAAATCAGAACCCATCCATATGGTCCTAAAAGAGATCAAAATAGCTCAAGAATTATTCAATAATTAATTCATTCATTATTGAGCTATTCCCCAAACTTAAAAATATCTTACACACCTTGCAGGCAAATTAAAATAATCATAACAAAAAAACATTAAATAAATAAACAAATGGAGGGTCAAATGGACTTTATTAAACTGGAGGAAGATGGTTAAGATTTGAATGCGAAGAAAAACACAGCATGGATAGGAGACCAAAATCTTTGTAGTTGTATTGGTACCTAGAGTGGGCTTGGAGTGTCTTTTTAGAAAAACATTTATCTTCATTCTACATCCTCACACTGTTACCAGTAATGTGATGGAAATGAACTACATTGCCATGGCACCTATTTATTTTATATACTTATTTAAAGAGTTACTCCAAGCATCATGACCCATGATTTAAAGTATCAGTAAGACAGAGAACTTGGCCTCGGGACTGGATTGCAGCTATGTTTTCTTTTTTTTAGTGTTTGATAAATATTCAATAATTTCTCTTTCATTTTTTTTTTTAGCAGACACTGATACGTTCCTAAGCAGAAGAGCACATTTGGGGCAGTTCCCTGAAACCATCCTGAAATACCTTCATTGGATATCAATTACAAGTCAAATCTGTGAGCTTTCCCCAAATGTTGAAATTCTGAGATGAAGGTGGACCTTAATAAAGAATCCTAACCCTGAGAATACAATAGGAACACTTTTCAATATAACCTTTTATATCAGTTGATTACAATAGAAAACCTAAAGTATAGTTCTATGGATATGGATCTTACTGATAGTAAGTTACCAATATATTTTTGCTTTCACCTCTGTTGTACTGAACCAATTGGGCTGTTTGTTGAAGAAAATACTCTGATCACCATCAGACAACAGAATAGGCAGCACACATCCATTCTGTAAGGTCGACAGAATCTCAGCACTTCCTCTCTGTTCTGGTCACATAGTTGGAGGCTGCAAGAGCGAGCTGGACCACACAGGTGGAAACACAGGAATCTGGAATCTGATGTAGAATGACAAGGTGGGCCATTAGTGACATGTCTTTGCATTATTCAGCATACTTACAAAGTAATTAGTTGATCTGACCAAAAATATATAACTGTGTATCAATTTCTTCACCAAACACATTTTTTCACACATTTCTTTTATGAACAGATACAAACTTAATCAACTTGTCCTATGGGTAGATTGCCTGTGCCCCCCTTTCCATTGCAATCTGTACATTTGCCACATATATCTAAGGCCTGCTAAAACCTATTTGAAACCTCATAAATGGCAACTAACCCATCTTAAAGGGATTTTCTAGACGTCATAACCATTTGAGCTTATTGAGTGTTTATTATTAATAAAGTGCCTGTCTTGAACCAAGGAGTGCCTGGACCACTATTATTTTGCAATTAACCCTTGTCATTTGAAGAGTCCAGATGTACACCTTCTAGCTCACATCACACAATGCACCTTATTTCAAGGCACATGTACATTCTGCTCCCAAAGGGATAGCTTTTGGTTTCCCATAGACTGACACAGTCTCTGTAATGACTGGTGCAGAATACACAAGTTTTTCACAATATCAACCATCACAGAGAAAGAGTGAGTCAGGGGCATTTCTGGGGGGGCTGCCAAGCGCTGGAGCCCAGTGTAGGGTTCTGAAAACCATTGGACCATTTCATTGTTAGACCCAAGTTCTGTGTAATACTGAGAGATAAAATAACTCTAATTATATCATTTATGGCAGTGCCATTTTATATTTATAGTACACATTAGTTAGTGATTGTTTTTAGGAGAGGTTTAAGTCAACATATGTAGAACTAAGGTATAAGAGAAAAAAAGGTCTAGGGAATTGATGAGGCAAAATTTACTGAAACTCAACAGTCAGCCAGTTTCGACCTAAATGGTCTTTTTAAAGCTACATTTAGTTGAAATGTTGCTATTTGTTATCTGTGTTTTATAAAATTTTGCCTCATCAATTCCCTGGGGTGCTTGGACCTTTTTTCTCTTATACCTATTGTAATTGGGACCTGGTGCTGGTTCCTGGTTTGGTTGCACCCAGGATTGTATATTTTGGATTGAGTGCAGTTCTGGATTTGGTTTTGTAAAGAACATATGTAGAAGGTGTCATGCGATTACCCTTGATCTGAAGCTTGGGAGTCTTTGGACTAGCAAGAGCTATCTCCCGGGGAACAGTACCTGCAAGTATGTGCACATCAGTGCTGACATACTAACTCATTGATATTAGATCCATGATGTGTAAGGCAATTAAATATCGCTAAACATATTTACAATTTTGGTGCTGTCTTTGACTATAGAATTTTTTAGTTTTTATATTAATATACGCAGGTTTGTACAATTACCTTCAGTAGCCACAAGTAGTTGTTTAGCTGTCTTTGTGGAGATAATATATAATCTCTCTGGTTGACATCTCAATCCTAAAATAGAAATTAAAAATTGGTGTATCTCTTCAGTAATGAATAATTAAGCTGCCACTTCTCCCATTTTTATACACTGAAACACTGCACATACATCCCAGTATTGAAAGGGAAGAAATTGCAACTAAAGTCAACAGGACTGGAAAGGGTTTGTCCCAGCAAAGCAATATGACATATGCATCTGAAAAATGTGATTTGGCCATTTCCTCTAGCAGCATGTGCGTTATATATTAAAAGGCGTAAATATTCAAATACATAGCATGTTACATCACTTGCACGACTTAAATTTGAGAGAGATAGATAGATAGACTGCATCTATTTAGATACATAGAAACATAGAATGTGACAGCAGAGAAGAACAATTCGGCCCATCTAGTCTGCCCAAAATTTTAAGTACTTTAATTAGTCCGTGGCAGCGGCGTAAATACCATGGTAGCAGGGGTCGTAGCTGTGACCTGGCCCGTCACTACAGTGCCCGCCGCCATGTGTTGCGGCCCCTTGCTGCGCAGTATAATTGCCAGGGCCGCAGGTGAACTGGCCCATCGTGTGGAAATGAATATCATCATCTGGGTGGGCCAGGGAAAAAAAGCGCGATCGGGCCCCCTCTTATGATGTCAGACGCTGGGAGGAAGTGACTGCCACGGTCACTCCTCCCAGCAACCACCAGAAGCCGCGTGGGAGGAAGGAGAGGGAGTCAGAGTCCTTCACTCCTTCCTTCTTTCAACTTTTCCCTTCCAGTTGACTTCAGCTGGAAGGCTAATCCATGCTTCCACTACCCTCTCTGTAAAGTAATACTTCCTGATATTAATTTTAAACCTTTGCCCCTCTAATTTAAGACTATGTCCTCTTGTTGTGGTAGTTTTTCTCCTTTTAAATATAGTCTCCTCCTTTACTGTGTTGATTCCCTTTATGTATTTAAATGTTTTTATCATATCCCCCCTGTCTCGACTTTCCTCCATGCTATACATGTTAAGATCCTTTAACCTTTCCTTGTAAGTTTTATCCTGCAATCCATGAACCAGTTTAGTAGCCATTCTCTGAACTCTCTCCAAAGTATCAATATCCTTCTGGAGATACGGTCTCTAGCGCTGCATACAATACTCCAAGTGAGGTCTCACCAGTATTCTGTACAATGGCATGAGCACTTCCCTCTTTCTATTGCTAATGCCTCTCCCTATACATCCAATCATTCTGCTAGCATTCCCTGCTGCTTTATTACATTGTCTGCCTAGTGCCTACCTTTAGGTCATGTGAAATAATTTCTTCTAAATCCCTGTCCTCAGATGTTGAGGTTAGTAAGGGGTATCAAATATTCTGTACTCTGCCCTTGAGTTGCCACAGCTCTGACCATTTTTCTAGTTTTCCGAAATCATTAGCCATTTGGCTTATCCCTCCTGGACCATTAACCCTGTTGCAAATTTTAGTATCATCAGCAAAAAGACATACATTACCATCAAGACCTTCTGCAATATCACTATTAAAAATACTAAAGAGAATGGGTCCAAGTACAAATCCCTGAGGTACCCCACTGGTAACGTGATATTGCTTCGAATATACTCCATTAACCACAACCCTCTGTTGCCTGTCATTAACTGTCTAACCCATCCAACAATATTGGAATCCAACCTTAAAGATTGCAGTTTATTTCCCAATTTTTATGGGATTTGTGTTGATATACAGGGAGTGCAGAATTATTAGGCAAATGAGTATTTTGACCACATCATCCTCTTTATGCATGTTGTCTTACTCCAAGCTGTATAGGCTCGAAAGCCTACTACCAATTAAGCATATTAGGTGATGTGCATCTCTGTAATGAGAAGGGGTGTGGTCTAATGACATCAACACCCTATATCAGGTGTGCATAATTATTAGGCAACTTCCTTTCCTTTGGCAAAATGGGTCAAAAGAAGGACTTGACAGGCTCAGAAAAGTCAAAAATAGTGAGATATCTTGCAGAGGGATGCAGCACTCTTAAAATTGCAAAGCTTCTGAAGCGTGATCATCGAACAATCAAGCGTTTCATTCAAAATAGTCAACAGGGTCGCAAGAAGCGTGTGGAAAAACCAAGGCGCAAAATAACTGCCCATGAACTGAGAAAAGTCAAGCGTGCAGCTGCCACGATGCCACTTGCCACCAGTTTGGCCATATTTCAGAGCTGCAACATCACTGGAGTGCCCAAAAGCACAAGGTATGCAATACTCAGAGACATGGCCAAGGTAAGAAAGGCTGAAAGACGACCACCACTGAACAAGACACACAAGCTGAAACGTCAAGACTGGGCCAAGAAATATCTCAAGACTGATTTTTCTAAGGTTTTATGGACTGATGAAATGAGAGTGAGTCTTGATGGGCCAGATGGATGGGCCCGTGGCTGGATTGGTAAAGGGCAGAGAGCTCCAGTCCGACTCAGACACCAGCAAGGTGGAGGTGGAGTACTGGTTTGGGCTGGTATCATCAAAGATGAGCTTGTGGGGCCTTTTCGGGTTGAGGATGGAGTCAAGCTCAACTCCCAGTCCTACTGCCAGTTCCTGGAAGACACCTTCTTCAAGCAGTGGTACAGGAAGAAGTCTGCATCCTTCAAGAAAAACATGATTTTCATGCAGGACAATGCTCCATCACACGCGTCCAAGTACTCCACAGCTTGGCTGGCAAGAAAGGGTATAAAAGAAGAAAATCTAATGACATGGCCTCCTTGTTCACCTGATCTGAACCCCATTGAGAACCTGTGGTCCATCATCAAATGTGAGATTTACAAGGAGGGAAAACAGTACACCTCTCTGAACAGTGTCTGGGAGGCTGTGGTTGCTGCTGCACGCAATGTTGATGGTGAACAGATCAAAACACTGACAGAATCCATGGATGGCAGGCTTTTGAGTGTCCTTGCAAAGAAAGGTGGCTATATTGGTCACTGATTTGTTTTTGTTTTGTTTTTGAATGTCAGAAATGTATATTTGTGAATGTTGAGATGTTATATTGGTTTCACTGGTAATAATAAATAATTGAAATGGGTATATATTTGTTTTTTGTTAAGTTGCCTAATAATTATGCACAGTAATAGTCACCTGCACACACAGATATCCCCCTAACATAGCTATAACTAAAAACAAACTAAAAACTACTTCCAAAAATATTCAGCTTTGATATTAATGAGTTTTTTGGGTTCATTGAGAACATGGTTGTTGTTCAATAATAAAATTAATCCTCAAAAATACAACTTGCCTAATAATTCTGCACTCCCTGTAAAGCTTGATAGTTTGTTTACTTGGAGTTATATATCCAACCTGTACCCCCATGAGTTCTGGTTAGCTTTTATGTATTTGAAGATAAAAGTCATGGCTAGCTCTGTATACATTTTGTTTCACTAAAGCATAAATCTGGTGCATATCCATATAGCAAATCAAATTAAAATGCCATGGTATTATTTATTTCGGAAATTATCACTTGTTAAAGTTAATATACGCTATTCAAGTAGAATCCAAACAAAAAATTATGAAATGAGAATTTTTATTTATACACTACTGGTTTTATTTATTTTTTAAGAGTAGGGAATACTGATGTAGGTGAATCAAATATTAGTATGCTATATAAAAATACAAAAACAGATAGAATACATTGAGTTGAATGACATATTCCAAAAAAGGAAACAAATGGAAAAAGAAATAATTTTACTACAACAACATAAAACACATGCAAATTCAGCAATCATGGGATCTCCAGAACACTAATACATGGCTTATTACCATATCCCTTAAAAATCTGTGGATGTCCTACACATCTTATTTCATACACCTCACAGAATTGGGCAAGTTCTTCCCTGTCTGTTTGTTTATTTCGTGGCTAACAGCCTTAGACATTAGCCAACACTGGACTTTTTTTTATTATTTTGGTGCACATTATTTTTTTTTTTATTATTCCATTTTAACATCTTTTTTTTTTTTTTTTTTAACTTTTTGGTTTATCTCCAGGAGATTATGTTTCACTTAGCTGATGGTAAATGGACATATATGCATTTATTTTGGAATTTATTTTTATGCGTCTATATGATATATGTAAGTGTAAATAAGGTTAAGGATAGCAATTATGCAGCATTGCAACAGTATATGTTAAAATCTCTTACTGCTGAGACTGACTTCGACTATGTGATATATGCATTACTATTCTATAACTTATACTGTTGTTAAATTATTATTTGTTTCCTTTTTTGGAACTGTGACTCAGTGCATTCCGATTTTTTATTTTCAAACAGTATTTGGTTCACCTACAATGGTATTCCCTACTCTTGCAAACAACTATTAGCATATACAAAAATAGTAAAATAAATAATATTTATAATAATATAATATAATAGTAGTGTATAATTATAAATCCTAATTTCATTATTTTTGAGTGCAGATTCTGTTTGTATAGTTTGTCTTTTATTTTCGTGCAAATAATTGTAGATCGGGCTTGCTTGGTTCCAGCACCATATTTACTTTTATCGCATTGGGTGGTGTGGTTTAGTATTACGCTTTGAATAGTTAAAGGTAATATACCAGAGCAATATTCCTTACCTTGTGGCTTGACCTTGGAGGTAATAAAGAACTGTTTGTCACCAGCCAAAATCTGTAATTCAGAAGAAGTTGACTCATCCAACTCTTCGACTGCTGTTAACATTCTCTGTATCCTTGGTTTATCCTCCATGGGTCTTATCTCAGAGGACTTATCAGATGGAGAAGCAGAAGTTACCCGAGTAGTTTCTTTTCCTGTTACATTTTTGAGATCAGTAAGCTTTTCATTTTTATGCTTCTCATGCTTTTCTTCTTGACTTGTGAAATCATTGTACCGATTAAATGTCTGTACGGGTTGAACCTCTAAGCAACTGCAGACCATTTTCTCATCTGTAGAAATCCTAAAGATATGATCAATGTGTTTCTCTCTTCTAAGCTGCCCAAAAGGCGATAGTTGTGACCTTGTAACTGACATGTTAGAAAGTATTAAACCTTATAGATGTGTGCGAATAACCCAAATAAAGTTTCCTAAATATTGTCTCCAAAGCCTCAGTGCTGGAGTGTTTGTGTCCTGTTGACTTGTACCATCCAAGTCTTTTCTAATTTCTTGCCTGCTTCACCTGATGCTGTTTCCATCACAACCAGATACTCTTTCAAGCCTCTTTGTAGGGGGCACTGTAGTCTGTCAATCCAAGAGATGAAATGCAACATTAAAGTAAAGAGAAGGACAACAAAATTCCTGGAGGGATTACAGGAAATAAAGAGGATTGGCTGTGGACATTCTTAGCTCACAGCAACTATCTCCCAGACCGTCTCTTTATCAAGCACGTGATTCTAGGACACAATGAGGAAACAATTCTATTGTTACAGTGTGTCTACATTCATTTATAAGTGTATGTTTTGATAGACAGAGGCCTGTCACTTTCAGAAATAGTAAACACTAGACAGTATGTTCCCAGCTTTGGTTGCGTAGGATAAAACTGATCTCTTTTTCAATTATCCCCCACGAAGAGACAAGGGTTAATCCTGTATGTTTGTGTCAAATGATTTCATTGCACAGTTTTTGTAGTTGTAGGTCGATAATGAAATGAAACATTGGTCATGGTTGACACGGAGATGAATAAATTGAACCCTATTCTATCAAGCCGCTCATTAAATTTGAGGTTATTCCCTGAAATCAAGCACAATGCTCTTATTGCGTTCACGTCAGGAGCAGTTCTGGGAAATGAGCAGCTTATTTGATGTTACAGATGCTACTCTGAACTCCCCAAACAGAATAAGCGGCCAGTGCCTGAGCAGTGTTTACTTTGGATCAGAACAGTGTACAGAGTAAGACTGTGTATACTAGGTGACACAATGACACATTCTGCTTCACAAGTTTCAAAGTTTGTCTTAGATATCAGTCTCTTACGGGAAATGGGGACAAATTAGATTCCTTGTTACGATTTCTCGTGGATGCTGTTTGTATCTCCACTAACTTGATGTGTGCAGTGCATTATTAGATACTCAGCTGAAGCTAGATATAGCTTGACACCTCATTGACTTGATAGTAATGCAAGCTGTTATGAATTTCATTCTGCACTCCCAATAACAAGCCTTTTGGAGAACATCTAAAATTTCAGGGATGACCGAGAGGCCCAACCTTGACACTGGCAAAGCATTACTAAATTGTATGTTTTGGTTTGGTGACTTTTGTAACTATTACAAATTTTACAGCCTAAATTAAGTTTATTGATTTACATTGTGCTACAGGAGCATAAGTTGATGATATAGATAAGTGATGTCACTGGACATATATTTTTGAGTTTTAGAGGGCTCACACAATCAAGCTGTTTAACCCCTTAAGGACACATGACATGTGTGACATGTCATGATTCCCTTTTATTCCAGAAGTTTGGTCCTTAAGGGGTTAATAATAATGTATAATTTTTCATCATTTTACATTTTTCTTTTATTTAACATGATCACATGATTAACAAAGTAAACATCAATATTTATTTTGCAAAGTAAGTTTCAAAATTCAAATCATTTTTGAAACCATACACATTGTTTTGTTCATCTTTAGTCTCAAAAAATGGATTTTATGCATGCCTTTGTAGACCAAGGTCCAGGAATATAGAACTCTTGTTACATGTATCAGAACAGTTATTTAAACGAATACTCTAAGCACCATAACCACTGTAAGCATTAATAGTTATAGTTCCAGGGATAATCTATAGTATACTGCCAGACTATTTGCCAATGGTTTGGCATTATCTGACTCTCCCTGGCACTCGAGTCCTTCCATTCTGCACTGATACGATAAATTGTAAGTTTACACTTTTGTTTTAGCATACTAACTTTGGGCAGAATTCATTGGCAAAGTGTTTTAAGGTGTTCAGATTCAGAATATCATTTTAAATTGGAATCCTGAAATGACAATGTGATCTAAACCTTGATACATTACTGCTCTGGAGTTCTAAATCCCTCAGGGGAAGAGGAAAAATAACTGTACAGTTGATGCAATCTTTTCCATCACAAAATGTTTGCAAACAGATCGGGAAGTACCAAATTAAACACAGAAGAAGACGAGAAAAGTATTTTAGTGCATCTAAAGCATTATTTTAGATTTGTGCCTTTAATAAATATTAAAATATAGTTTCAGAGAACACAGAATATATCACCTCGAATCATATTGTCTTAGTTAGTTTGTGCACATCTATTTGTTGCAACAGAGCCAACTATAGGCATATTTCCGATCCAATCCTAAAACATCTTGCATCCATGAGAGCTCTGTGACTGAAAGTTCAAGCATGACACTGGACTCCCAATGGCCACCATCAATGCACACGGATCACATTTCTTCTATAACCATCTCTATGGCCAATAACCTGTGGACCTCATTCTGGATTTCAGGCTGCTAGCACATTTTAGTAACGGGAACAAACCCAAATGACAGGCCTTAAAGTTGTAGCAACTGCAACTGTTTGCATGAAAAGGCAGACTATTTCTTATCGTGCATATCCAGATGCCCAATGACAAGTATTATTTATTGATCTTCTCACGTGGATTCTGATGCATGTGGCAGGTAGAGTTTTGGATCTCCTGGAAAAGGATATGCCGGTGCTTGGTTAAAGTGACCAGATAGGAAAGTTCCAACAGATACCATGATAAACAGGAAGAACATGATTAAGAAACAGACCCGATCAATTACTCGACCAATCAATATCCACTCTTCATTCTCCTGGAAGTAAAGGAAAAAAGAGGATATGAAGTCATACTTTTGCTTATTTTGTGCTTCAATAAGTACAGGTACAAGCAAAACTGCCATGGAGATCCCCATTTTCCAATTGAATTCCATTGTACCTGGGACAATATTTGTTTGAATTATATAGTTGTGTCTGCATGTGTCCCTAACCATATACATTTATAGAGACAGACATATAGATAGATAGAGAAATGGGAGTATATATTATGTAAGTATATTCCTCATACATTTCCAACATTGGACTTGGAAGATGAAGGCAAAAATAAATTCTTGGCCACAAAGTGGTCAAATGGCAATTATTTCTTATGTATAGCTAAAGTAAACGGGCCAGATTAAAATGTGATTATAATCTTCATCTGAACTGTATTTTCACAGTGCAGTCACTGCAGCTGTGCTTAAGTAGAAGGGACACTAGAAGCACCATTAAGGGAAACTATAACCAAAAACCAGCGGTGATGTCCCTCGGGGCTGGTTCAAACTCTGCCTCAGCTCCTCCCCCACTGATGTCAGCCAGCAGGGAAGACCTAATGCACATTAGTATTTCCCCCATAGGAAAGCATATATAATGCTTTACTATGGGGTTTTGGGTGACACTGGAAGTCGAACTACAGCTAGGCGGCCAAAAGTCGCCTAACGACCTGAAAATCCCTCTAGTGGCTGTCTGGTAGACAGACATTAGAGGTGGAGTAAACCCTCAAAGGTAATTATTGCAGTTTATTAGAAACTGCAATAATTACCTTTGCAGGATTAAGAGACATGAACTGAAGTGGTCTGGGTGCCTATAGTATCCCTTAGGCATTACAGCTTATTGTAATGATTATGTTGTAAAGACTCTCTTAGTGTCATTGAGCAATTTCACAAAAATCAGTGCTCTCTCTGTCTTTCTACTGTGGGTTTGAAGAGATGAAATGGTAAACTGAGAGAGTTTAGCTAGTCTGCCTCTACCGCACTGTTTCCTGTCAAACTGCATCCATAAACTCTTGCACTGTAACCATTAGTGAGAAAATTTGGCTCAGCCAAAGCATTTTTTTGGGCTGAATGTTAGTTCAGCTCAGCAGAATTTTGGAACCAAATCAGAACACAAAAGGTTGCAAAATGGTACACATATTGGCCCATTTTAACAAATAGAGGGGAAAATCGGAGGAGCAGTAAACACATCTATGCTTATATTTAAATATAGTTTTTGTTTACAGAAAAAGAGAAAAATAGGAGGATTTCTGAGTATCCAAAAACTAAATGGAAAAAATAATAATATTTACCTAATTTAGTAGACCTAATAGTACTACTATATCAATATTATTATTTTTTCCATTTAGTTTTTGGATACTCAGAAATCCTCCTATTTTCTCTTTTTGTGCCATTTATCCATAAGGGTTACGCCCCACTCTAGGAGGTTTTCTCAGTATCACACACACACTGACAGACACACGCTCACTGACAGATACACTTTTACTGACAGACACACTCTGACAGTCACACACAATCAATAAAAAAACAGACAGACATGCCTGACAAATACAGACTCTAAATGATTTGACTCTCGCTAACAGACACATACATAAACACT